AGACAAAAACAAATAACCTGGTGAGGACACATTCCTTTTTTGTTTGTTTTTGTTTTTTGGCTGGGGCTGGGTTTTAACCCACCGCCTCGGGTATATGGGGCCAGCGCCCTACCTTAGAGCCATAGGCACAGCCCAAAATTGGACTCTTTTTTTTTTCTTTGCAGTTTTTGGCCGGGGCCGGGTTTGAACCCGCCACCTCTGTATATAGGGCCAGTGCCCTACTCCTTGAGCCACAGGCACCACCCAGTGAGGATGCATTCTTGTCAATGGGTTTGCTTTTTCATGGAATTTCATTTTGTTCCCCACGAGCATCACTCTTGTGAAGTAGGTGGGGCTCCTGGGGAGGTTCCGGTCAATCTGTGGAGGAGCAGGGGATTCCAAAACCACCTGAGGAACAGTGGCTCCCCCGGCTCATTGGAGGTGTGGGCATGGCTATCAACAGCTGCCCCCCAGTAAGGCCGCTCTTGTGGGGAGCACGGGACCCGGGGCGTGGAGACATGGCCACCTGTTTCAGTCGTACCTTGCCTCACCTCCCCTCTGCTATTTGGTCCCCAGGCTCTGGCAGCTGATCTGAAGACCCAGGGCTGTTATCACAATGCCATCATTAGTTGAAACAAAATCATTCCTTGTAACTAGAATATAGTTACCATAAACGACATATGTTATTGGGCATTCTATTTCTAATAATTGTAATTATGCTGGAATAGTTGCCATTAATGTAATAATAACAATGGTGGACCAGTTCTCTGTTCCAGACCAATAACCTCACCTGAACACACTCTTTGTTCAGCGGGGAAAAAGGAGGTAATTCAACATCCCCGGTGACAGTCAACAAAGCCAATGCTGAAATGGAAGACGCCCAGATGAAAGCATTCCTGGGGTGCAGGATGGTGCTGGGTAGATGAAAGCCACCTGGCAGCCTTACTCTTAGCTAATAAGAGGACATTGTCTGTAATCCCCCACTTGAAGGGTAAAAGGAAATGAAAACCCAGGAGCTTCCAGAAGAATCACTGGGGTCTGGCTGTACCTTCATTCCAGGAGGGTGAGTTTAGCCTAGCTATCCAGGGAACCTCTGGTCCTTGGGTCACCTTGTTATGTACAACTGGTAGACCTAAGCCTTGCTACTCACCTTGTAAGACTGCTTCTTGGGCATGGATTTCCAGCTTGTTTCTATTGTACTTACAATTACAGAACTTCAGCAGTCATTTAGACCAATGACCCCATTTTACAAACCTTTAAATACAGATCTACAGAGATCTTATTCACCTTTAAACTTCTCACAATGCCTTAAGCGTGGGAAATACTTAGTGAAATAAAGAACGCACAGTTACATCCTAGGTAAACTTGAGTATCAAGCTGTGAATAAGCTATTCTTCTGGATGGGAGAAAGGACCATAGTGATAAGGGGCTTCTGCAAAATCACCTTTCAATTGTGTAGTTTTCTTTTTCACTCCTTATTCCTGCTACTATCTCTTCCTAGAAGTACATACAGTCATGCTCCACATAATGATGTTTCAGGCAACTATGGGCCATGTATAGGACGTGCTCCCATAGACTAGGTTATTGTACCATATTTTCTATGTTTAGATGTGTTTAGATACACAAATACTTTCCACGTGTTACGGCTTCCTGCAGTATTCACTATAGCAGTAGGCTGTATAGGTTTGTAGCCCAGCAGCAATAGCTATACTCCATGGCCCAGGTGTGTACTAGGCCTTACCATCTAGGTTTATGTAAATACACTCTAGAATGTTTGCAAGACAAAATTGTCTAATGATGCATTTTCAAGAATGCATCCCGCACCGTTAAGCAACACAAGATTGTATAATATGAAAATACATGTACATATATAATGTAAAAATATAAAAAACAAAACAGCACCATTAAAAAATCATCATACTTCCCTTAGTATTGGAGGACTTTCTTTTGAATGCTGAGGATGATGACCTCCCTCTGACAATGAGCCAGTGACTCAAAATGGCTGGAGTCAGTCAATAGTTCACAAGCATTTAACTTCTCCCTGGCACCTTCACTATGAAGATGATACTCCAACCACCACCATGAGGTGGTCCAGCTTCTCCACATTCACATTCAAAATGGCCCTAGTACTGAGCTAGGTGGAATCCAAAGTCCACCTCTGGACCAGAATCATACCCTTTGCTTTTCCTTCATGTGGAATAAATGAACAACCGAAGTGAAGAGGAACCAAAGTTAATTCCACGTGACAGTGTGCTAGGGAGGCATGGTAGTTCCAAGTCACTCTGGAGTTACCTGCCAGGCTCACTAGAGCACAGCTCCCTTGCAACGGGGAGGACTGAAGCACAGCTGCAGTAGCTCAGTGCAGCCCTGAGCCCCTCTATGGCCCATGGTTGCCCAGCCAGTTCCTTTCTTGGAGGCCCTGAGATGCTGCGACTCCCCAGCAGACTCTGCCACAATCAGCTACAGAGAGGGTGTTGTGCCTAGTTTGCTGTCTGGGTACCAAAGGCATCATTCTTCTAGAAGGGGCCCTGCATTGCACTGGGAAACAGGTTGGGCGCTTGTTTTACTCTTTTTAATTTTTTCCCCCTCCTTCTGAGCAGCAGATGCAAGCTCCTTTTATACATTTAAGAGAAAGAAATTTAGGACAAGAGGAGCAAACAAGAAAGAAAAAGTAGAAATTTGAAAACCTTCTTCAAGGTAATTAAGTGATTAGAGGCCTTCAAAATCTACCAGATCACTCAATTGTGTTTGCTTTCATTTTATTCTGGAAACTTCTGCAGTATCACCTCTGCCAGATCCACCAGTCTGCAAAGCTGAAGAGAAGCTGAAAGCCACTTTGTCTTAACTCCCATCAAGTTATATGCAATTTTCAGACTGAAACAAGAAAACCATATTTCCCAGAACCCTGCTTGCAGCCCTGGTGGGTCCATGTGCCCCAAGACAAAGTCCTGGCTGGGTTGATGAGACTGTGCAGCCTTTTATCAGCATCTGCATATCAAGGGTATACCCTCAGCTATCCCCACTCATATCTCTATTATTACCTTCACATCCATTTTGTCTTTGTTAAAGAAAACTAGAAAACTGACCCATGAATATGAGATTTACACTCCTACTTAAAAGCCAAGCTGTAACCCCTGGCCTTCCTTTCTCAGTGTTGTTTTTTTTTTTTTTTTTTTTTGAGACAGTCTCACTTTATCACCCTCAGTAGAGTGCTATAGTATCACAGCCAACTCACAGTAACCTCCAGCTCCTGGGCTTAGGTGATTCTCTTGCCTCAGCCTCCCGAGTAGCTGGGACTATAGGTGCCCACCACAATGCCCAGATATTTTTTGTTGTAGTTTGGCTGGGGCCAGGTTCAAACCCGCCACCCTTGGTATATGGGGCCAGTGCCCTACCCACTGAGCCACAGGTGCCTCCCCATCTTCCTTTCTCTATAAAGTGACAACCTAGGGGTCTCTTGCCCAGATTGCAAATCCAGAATAGCCATTTCCAGTCATAAACCCACCCTGCTGGAGAGGGAGAGGGTCTGTGTCCAAAGTTTCCACAGTCTCTTCCTGTTTCCTACAAGGGACTCCATGGGAGTCAAGATAAAGGTTTTTATCCTTTCTCAGCTTTCCCAACTGGTGTGTGGGGCGAAGGTCTCAAGTGTGGAGAGTCCAAAGAATAAAATAAAAGGAAAACAATCGCCCTATCCGAAGTATTTCGAAGGTCCCTAGTACTCCATTAGCTGGATGGGCATGTTCCTGTTGCTGCTCTGATTTGCTCCCTGCTCCTCCACTCAATAGGGGTCATTCTCTCCCTTAATGACTCCCCTACTCCTGGCCTCTACCTCTAAAATGAACTGCCATGCCCACTCTCCACCTGATGAACTCCTGCTCAGCCATCAGGGCCTGGGCTAACTGGGATGGGGGGCTTGGGTTTTCTGAGGGCTAAACACAGTGCAGTCATTCCCCTGTGCTAGAGGAGCCCAGGGTAGCAGATGTTGGTATTGGGTATCTATCGCTCTTCCCTTTTAGCCTTTGGTATCAGATGCCTTTGCTCTGACCGTGAAGCATGCGGGCTAAATGTAGGGTGACAAGTGTTGGGGGAGGGTGTGGAGTAACTGGGTGGGGCTGTCTGCCCTCTCCATGCCCCTTGCTTCCTAAGCCTGGACAGTCTCCTGCTCTCACAGCTGTGGGGCTTGCCACATGGTCTTGCCACCTGTGTGGGTGTGTGAAGGGGTGGGAAGGGACATTCAAGACTGGGGGTGGAGGAGAAGGAGCTGGAGCCTGTTGAGCTCAATGCTGCCTGAGAGAGTGCAAGAAACACTGTTGTGTTTGGGCAACAGAAGACTTTCCCACAGTGTCTTCATGCCTGGTGTCTTTGAGGTCCTTGCCCACACACGTGCATCCTAAGAGAGGCAACAGCACTGGCAGCAAGCATTTTTGTTATTGTGAAGAGTTTACAAGGAGAAGAACAAAAATTAGAAGGGAATAGAAAGATATCTTAGCCTTGGAGCCAAACTCTGTCTCAGGGATTCGTCAAACTGGACTGAGCCTCAGAAGCATCTGGAAGGCTTATGAGAGGCAAAATTGCTGGGCCCCACCTGGAGAGTTTCTCATTTGTGCAATGGAAGGCAGCAATACTAGCAAGTTCTCAACTGATGCTGATGTTGATGCTGCTGGTGTGAGAACCATACTTTGAGAACCACCGCTCTGGTTCATAAGTTGATCATCCTTTCATGCTATTTCTCTCCCTCCCCTGCTCATCTTGCCCTCTTTGGCTTCAGACTTTCTCTGTAAACAGTGCTCTGAGGAACAGCTAAGGAGCCTATACACAGCCCTGAAATAGTACATTTACAATTATTTCTAGGACATTCCAGGACACCCACCTCTCTGGAATTAAACTTACCTGGTATGTGAAGGGTCCTCCTGGCTGGAGTGACCTGGCATACATCTTTGTCTATAACTGAACTTCTGGGGCTGACCCAGAACCTTTGGTTTGCTCACAAGTGGCACTCACCATTGGCAGTGGGGACCTACCTCAGGCAGCTTCACTCGTCCTTCCTGGAAGGAGCAGGTCTTGGGGTCATGAGTGCAGACGTGTCGGTATTTACACCAGTGGCAGCGGTATGGGCTCTCCACACAGGACAGGCACCTGGGCACAGAGTCAGAATCTAGGTGAGCTTGAAGCAGAGGGCCTGAGTCCCATGGGTCTAGCAAAACATTTTTAGTATTAAGAGAAACTGCCTCAAATGCTCAGGAAGAGAGCAGACCTTATATCAGTGGTTCTCAATCTTCCTAATGACCCACAGGTTAAGAACCACTGTCTTATATAAATCTATCCCTTTACTCCCCAAGTCCTCAGGAAAGTATGAGTCCCTGGACTCCTTCCTGACCCATGTATAACTGAGAACCCTGGTCCTTCAAGGACCTTATCACCCCACCACATCCCACCCACACACAGGGTGATATCCTCCTTGCTGAAGAGGGAGTGATAAGGTTAATAGGGGGGCCTGTCTGGAGAGACCATTAGAATGGGGGTACATACAAACTCAGGTTTTAATTCAAATTGGTCTCAGCTGTCAAGGATCTGTGGACCCAGACAGAAGAAGGTACTGAGTCTACTCTCAGGATAGCAGGTTCCTCCACAGTGGGCAATCCCACCACTACTCTTGGCCCCTAGGAAATAAGGGCTGTTTACAGGAGCTCCACATTTCTTAGAAACCCAACATGGTTCTCTTTTTCCAAAAATTCAAATGTCTCTGCACAAAGGCTAAGCCCATCATGGTGCCTAGGTCTGCTGTCCCCATATAGGTTTGGTGTTTTGGCCATGACCAGGTTCCACTCTCACACATTATCCCTCCACCTGGAGGGCCGTCCTCCCTTCCTCCACCTGGCTACCTCCTTGACTAAGGCAGAGTTGGTCACCCTGGGCCCTGTCCCTGGGACACCACTGACCTTCTGGTATTAAAATACCCCATGAACCATGCAGCCCTTTCACTAGACTGTCAACTCCTGGAGGCAGAGATTGAGCCTTTGAGTTGTGTTACTTTTTCTTTCCTCTGCATCTACTGAGAAACACATTGCTTTGTATGTATCATATGCTTAAAATCATTTTATGGACGGACTGGACATTTCATACATGATTCTCCTACCTCCTCTGTTTCCACAAAGGGGTAGAAGGGGTAGGAGGGACTAGGCCACCACATGGGAAAGCTAGAGGTAGCTCCAGGAAGAAGCAGGAAGAGAATCCCAGTGTTGCAGAAGCTCATTTCTGGCTGAGAATGCTGGATAGCTCCTTACAGGGGTCCACAGCTGCCATACCAGATTTATAGACCCTAAAATCCTACCAACCTATAGCCCCAACAGGGCTTTGGTAAGGTCAGCTCCCTCTCCTGCACATAGAGGAGAGTGGAGCAGCA